GAACTGTCCGCAGTGTCAAACACCATCTTCGGAGAGTCATAGGTGAACAGATTCTTACTCTTGAAGAGTTCATCACACTAACAACTCGCATCGAAGCAATTCTAAATTCACGGCCCTTAACCCCACTTTCATCTGACCCCAGCGAAATTAATTGCTTAACTCCAGGTCATTTTCTGATTGGAGGACCTCTTTTATCTCTTCCCGAAGCTGACTGGAATGATGTCTCAACAAACAGATTGTCAAGGTGGAAGTTTGTTCAAGCATTAACCCAAAGTTTTTGGAAAAGATGGCAAAAAGAATACCTCTACACGTTGCAACAACGAGGGAAATGGAGAAGTCCTCAACCTAACATCAAAACTGGAGATCTTGTCCTATTGCATGAACCAAACCAACCTCCCCTTTCATGGCGAATGGGACGTGTCATTTCAACTTCCCCAGGGCAAGATGGTCTTGTACGAGTTGTACAATTAAAAACTTCATCAGGAACACTCTCCAGACCTATAACTAAAGTCTCACCCCTACCAATCAATGATGAATAACGAAAGAAGTTAGACTGTTAACCAAAAGTTTGTTGTAAATATGTTCATTTCTAAATACATTTTTTTGTTCTCTCAATTATTAGGTGAACCCCTCTTAGTGGTTCACGGGCGGGGGTATGTTCTGTAATATTCAGTATAATTAACTTTGTTATAATAATGCTTTCTATCAACTAAAAATAAATACAGATGGCATTGGTTTTTAATTTGTTTTAATGTTTAAAACAACATATGTGATTTAACAATGAAATAATTTATTAGTAATTTTGTTAGTTGAAAACAAAACATCTAGAATGAAGATCCCTCTCTCTCTTTTGTAATCTCTCTTTAAAGTTCTGTAAAATCATTGAAAGTTTATTTGTTAATATTATACTATTTGTCAATTGTATCTCAGTGTTCTAATTTGTTCTTGAAGATTCAAACTCCGCTTAACTTATAAATACAGTCCACTCCACACGCTACCGAAATTCTACAGACACACTGACGCAGGTAGCACGGCGGACACGACGGAACTAGCCGTTGTCGAAGCGGTGACATTGGCCTTTGAGGTGGGGGTGCGTCAACTGATAATGGTTAGCATTAGATACATTGTTGACAATTTCTATCCTATCAAATAGTATGTTAGAGTCGGAATTTAGTTTTTCGTTCAGAACGTTCTGAAAAAAAAAATCCCCCCAGAACGTTCTGAACGAAAAACTAAATTCTCTATAAGTAGTTATAGAGGTTTTAGAAATAACCAGGTTCTACTGGGTACGAAAGACAATTTGGCATGAGTTTGAATTTTTAGAGAGTACCATAATTTAATGCACGATCTGGAACTAGATGAAGATAGATAGATTCACACACACAGCAGACCACGCGGCAGCTGAGCACGTGGTTTTGAAGCGTCTACTGCGCATGAGCTAGCCCATGGACGCCGCAAACGTTTTAGAAAAATCACTCTCCGAGCGATTCACACAAAACCATCGCCGACATTCAGGACCTTACGGACTACCTGAACTTGCGGTGTGAACGAGCTCATATGATAACATGGTCAGCGATTTGTTAAAATAAAACCGTAGTAGACGTACAGAACGTCCAGTACGCCGGTGTGAAAAGGCCTTGAGGTTGGTTTGGTGGGAAATATTTTCATGTCATCATTATGGGACCAACCTTCTCTAGTACACAAGGCTGTGGCGAGCAAAAACTGGCATTGTCGCATCTGCAACTCTTTTTAAAACTGAAAATTAAATTTTTAATTATGAGACAATATAGGCATGTGACACATTTTTTGGGGGTTATTTTTGATGCAAAATCTAATAAAAATAAGTTCCACTCAATATAACTACTATATAAAGAGTTTTTGTCTTGAATAGATCTTATATTCAATAACTAGCTGTGTACCCGTTCTACGCACGGGGATCTTATAATATTCAGTTGAAACCTTCTTATATAAAGAACAGCAGTTGGTTTGCATATTTTAAGATATGCTGGCCAAACTATTATACATAGCTTCATTTTATGTTGTTTTTTGTTGTTCCGGATCGGTATGACAATCAATAAAAGGTTAAATTACCTCTGTGTCTGCCGGTCGATCCTATAACGGTAGGCTTACTTTTATTTTTACTATCTGATCTCGTTTGCATGGCTCAATCACGTCCTGGTTGAAGTTCGTTCGCTACGCTCACTCACCTGTATGTTGGAGCTCGTTCGCTGCGCTCACTTTCCTTCAGGTTAGCTCGTTCGCTACGCTCACTTGCCTTCAGGTTAGCTCGTTCGCTACGCTCACTCGCCTCCAGGTTGCAAATTAGCTGTTGTCATAAATGTAAAAGAAATAATAGTGCTAGTGCTGCACCCTGTTGGTAATCCTTGTAACTTTAATGCTATTGAACATCACAGAACAGAACCAACTTGTTTAATTGAAACAGCTGTTAAGATTCAATAATTTCATTTCTCATAAGGTTAACATGGGCTTCCAGAAATTCCACGTCAAAAATCGACAAAAACTTGATTTTCAAGGGTTTACTGTTAAATATCTAACTGTCTCATATTCGATGAAATACGTCTAAAACCATCTCATATATGTATAGTATTTGGAAAATAAGTTTCAGGCGGGACAGTGCTATAGTTATTGAGGAGTAGTTGTAATAAAGTGCGTATTTTAGCGTTACCAAGAGAATGACAGATAGACAGACAGACAGACAGACAGACAGACAGACAGAAATTGAGATAAGGTTTGATTCGGTTTCTCTGACCTATGAAATGTAAAAATAACCAAAAAATTCATTATTCTAAGCAATGTACAGACAAAACTCTAATTTTATTTATATAGATTTTCCCATTTAGCACAGGTAAGATGGTACCGTATGTGGTACCATAGTATAAAAAAAATTTATCTGATGATGGATCTTATTGCAAACCTTTCTTTCGTTATAAGAATATAGAATCAAAATAGTCCATAAAATTACCCCCTCCGCAGCAAGCCTGGCAGACTAAGTGAATTTCCATTTACCAGATTGGAATTTCAATTAAATCTATTGAATTTTTAAGTAACATTACGTATAACAAATACCTAGGTTTGCTGCTACATGGAGGGTAATATAGTGTGGTTTTTAGTAAAATGTGAGTAGCTTAGTTTAAAATTAATGAATTTGCCGAGGTTGATGGAAATATATCCATAAACTAGCAAACTACAACAGTTTACTTATTCTCCATAAGAATAACATGGGAATTTTTTTATGTTTATTTACTCTCATTAATCTTAATAGCCTAGCATATGTGAAGCCGGACCCAGGTGGCGGGTGATTAGGGTGTTGCCAATAAGAACGGCTATGGATCAACGATTTGTCTGAAATAAATACAGTAGACCAACCCTAATTGGACCAGACCTAAGTCGGATAACTCAAAAGGTCGGTTAAAAGGGCAATCTCTAAAAACAAAAAAAATTAATTGCTATTCATTTGAAATTATGTATTTATTATTCTGAAGTCGTGCTTGCATTATCTTACTAATATTATAAATCTGAAAGTTTGTGAGTTTGTGTGTGTGTTTGTGTGTTGCTCAATCACGCATAAACTACTGGACGGATTGGGCTGAAATTTGGCATGATGATAGCTCATATTCCCGATTAACATTAAAGCATATTATTATCCCAAAAATCCTTTCGGGCTACGCCCCAGTGGCTCTGTAGTTCCCCATGTTAACCTTATGGTTTTTCATATTTAAAAGGAATTAATGAATCTTAACAGCTGTTTCAATTAAACAAGTTGGTTCTGTTCTATGATGTTCAATAGCATACAAGTTACAAGGATTACCAACAGGGTGCAGCATTATAATTTTTTTTTAAAGTTATAACAACAGCTAATTTCCCACCAAAAGGTGAGTGAGCGTAGCGAACGAACTTCAACTTGGAGGCGAGTTAGCGTAGCGAACGAGCTAACCTGAAGGCAAGTGAGCGCAGCGAACGAGCTCCAACCTAAAGGTGAGTGAGCGTAGCGAACGAACTTCAACCAGGACGTGAATGAGCCATGCGAATACTTATGAAGTTAAACGGGGCAAAGCCCGCGGGTACAGCTAGTTACAAAATAAACTACACATCTCCTTTTTGGCGAATTTCTCTATAGGGTAGTAGCTATTACCGTAGGTGGCACCTAGACCCGGGACCGATTACTTTTTAATTTTTTGATATCCCGGCAGGCCAAAAACCAGAACAAAGAACAGTAATGGAGAAAATAAAAAAAAATTAAAATTCCTATGTTATTCTTATGAAGAATATTGTAAAATGTTGGAGTTTGCTTGTCTAAGGATATATTTTGATCAAACATGGCAAATTTATTTATTTTATACTAAGATATTAATATTTTACTAAACTACACTTTATTAGTTTCCTTGTAGCAGCAAACCTAGGTACTCACTAAACGTAATGTTATTTAAATAGATTTAATTGAAAATAAATTCAGACAGATGGAAATTCACTTAGTTGGCAGGTTTGCTGCGGCGGGGGTATTCTCTTTTATTTTCCATATAAAAGTCACAAATAAACTCAAAACACTGTAAAGTCAAATGCTTTAAGTGGAAAATATTATAGTCGTAGGCAAGAGTCAATAAAAATTCTTATTTCAATACCTTTAGTAATATTAATTTATGCTTTCCAAATCTATCATAGTACAGTACAGAGCTGTACTGAAGATTCAAGCAGCCATTTCCTTATGAGACAGGATGTTTAGTTACAGTAACATCCTATAAATTTTTGGGTATGGTTCACATTACTGAGCATGGGAGCGGAAATACTGATATTCATAGAAAGTGGCTGTTAAACCGAGCTACTCTCAAAACAAGGTCGGTTAAAATAAACAGGCATATTTCACAAGTGAGAGCGGATAAGTAGTCAGATTATCGGTTAATGCAAGTTGGGTTAAGAGGGTACACCTGTAGTGGACACCTTACAAGATTCAACTTGTATAATGGTTTCATCATTGTTTTCAGGAACTGAAGGAGGTCTCAGATGTGTTGAAAGTGTTGTTCCTTGTGTTCCCCCACTATTGCTTGGGTTCAGGACTTCTTAAACTAGCCAGCAGTCAGATTGCTAAGGACTCCCTGGCTGCCTTTGGTCAGTTAGAACATTCACAAAACTATATTAAATTATTCAATAATATTTTATTATTAGACTCTCATTAGAAGACCTGCCTATAAATATCTGCTTTTTGGTTAAGGCTTATGCCTTAAAGATTTAAAAAAATTCACATAAATGATACAAACTTTAATAAATTTGTCTCCATTTTAGTGAGTTTAACACTGCCAATGCCAATCACCATCACAAGCATGAGTAGAAGAGCAGGAGGGGGGGGGCTGTTTTGATTAATCATGCGATGTTACAACCAACTATAAGCTGGACGCAGCTGTTGACTGTAAACCTGCATTTTGTAGCAATCTGGAAGAATAACACTGAATAAAATGTAAACCTTGCCATGTTTACAATAAAATTTGTTATATTAATGCCCCATTTTTTGTGGTTTTTTGCTTATAACTTGAAAACGGGGTGTCGTAGCTTAAATTGTTCAATGTAAAAGTTAAAGCTAATTAAATTTGCTACAACTTTGATTGTTGACATTATCAGTGAAAAACGCATAGTTTCAAAGATATCCGCGCTCAAAAAGATATAATGTTTGAAAACAGAATTTCACCTCACATTTCTCGTTAAAATCTTATTTTTTTCTCCTTCCTTGTTATTTTTTCTGATATATTGACTGAAAGAAGGTTGTAGAGAATTAAATTTACTTCAATAATATGTAACCATATGTAAATATAATTATTTGTAAAGAAATTGTTAATCCGAATCACAAGTTATTTGATGATAATTTAGATATTAGTAACTCGTTTTGTAAGTTTAGAGTCTTTTGCCAAAATATCAGGAGCTACAATAAAAACATAGATGACCTTGTTGTAATGTCTAACTTACATATTCACATTGCCTGCCTAATTTGTTATAACATATAATGATTTATGTTATATTTCTATATTGTTATGAGTTTGTTTATAGTTGACTTGTTTACATTCAGTTGTTGTTGCATTCAGTATTCTATCTTATTCTCAATTAAATTAGTTCATGTTAACTAACTGTCTAAATTATTTTATATAATCAGGGGAATTAACCGCTGCAGCTCAACTCTGCTATTTCTACAACATCAGACCTGCTATTAACACTTCAGGGTATAAAAAACAAATTTCATTGTATTATTCTGACTGAAGCTTGGTTAAATGATGATAGTGATTTGTTGGCTATTGATGGCTATAACATATTTAGAAGCTACAACAACTTGAATCAGAACGATGGAATAGTAATATACATAGATAACTCATTATCAACTTCCTGTAACCAGCTATTAATTGGCGGTGTCGCTACGAGTCTTTCCTTGACTTTTACGTGGGCAGGCGTGAATTGTAACTTAACTGCTATATATCGAAGTCCTGCTTCGTCTTTGCAAATTTTTATTGATAGCTTACATGATTATATAACAAATTCAACAAATTGTTCTAGCATGAAAATAATTGCAGGTGACATCAACTGTGACATTTTGAGCCCCCAATTAAATTCTTTGGAAGACCGTTACTTAGACATACTGAGTGACCTAGGATTCATCCAGTGTATAGACAAAGTAACAAGGCCAATAAGTAACACGTGTATAGATCATTACTTTGTCAAACTTCCGCCCAACTTTACAGCCGTCCTACAGACCTCAGTCACAGACCACTACAGTATTTGTCATGAAATTAAAAGTACTGCCAAAACCAATCCGAGAGTAAACAACCACTCTCAAAAATCAATCAACTGGGAACATGTTAGGCAAGATCTCCTCGTTCAAAACTGGGATCTAATCTATACATCAATAGATGTCCATTCTGCCGCAAAAATATTTAATGATATACTTATTTCAACTGTTGAACGTAATTCATATACCGTTACCACTACCGCTAAAACGTTCAAGATAAAACCGTGGATAACTAACGGTCTCTTAAAATCAATACGTCATCGGGACAAATTAAGTAGACTAACCAATAAACACCCCTTTAATACTAGACTGCGTGCGCGCTATGTTAGATACAGAAACATATTAAAATCTACACTAAAAAAGGCAAAATACGATTTTCACAAAAATAAAATCAATGACGCTCAAGGAGATCCAAAGAAATTTGAGAATATAGTGAACGAAGTAGCGGGTCGCGCGGATCCCAAATGCAAATTTCCAGTCGGCGCATTTGGAGCACACAGCGACACTGTCCCCTCCATCTGTGATAAATTTAACAAATACTTAGCTTCCGTCGGATCCCAGCTAGCCGAGGCTTTGCAGCCTGTTGGTCCTGTCGAAATAGAGGATGCTGATTTTGCTGTGAACTCCCAGTTCTCACTGGAACCAATTACCCATCAAGATTTACTAGACGTGGTCACCAAAATCAGAGGAAACTCGGCACCTGGGTATGATGGCATTTCCTCTAAACTGATAAAGCATAATCTAGACGTCTTACACCAACCCTTATTTCACATTGTAAATTTAAGTATATCAACTAATACTTTTCCAAATCCTTACAAAATCGCCAAAGTAATCCCGATCTATAAATCAGGCCCAAAGAATGTGATATCAAATTTCAGACTTATTTCTTTACTTTGTGCGGTATCCAAGATAATTGAAACATGTGTCAAGCAACAGTTGTATAGATATCTCGAGGAAAATAATATCATTGACAACGCACAGTTTGGGTTCAGAGCTAACGTAAGCACTACCCATGCCTTATTTAATATCTCAAAACATATTTATGAAAAAATTGATGATAAAAAACGTGTGCTTGTAACCTTTTTAGACTTGGCCAAAGCATTCGATTCTATTGATAGGCATAAATTAATTACAAAACTGCAGTTGATAGGCGTTGACAACCCATCACTTGACTGGTTCCGCAGCTATTTGACTGGTCGATCACAGTTCGTTACTATCAATGGCGAAAATAGTGATATTACTAACATTGACTATGGTGTCGTCCAAGGAAGTAACCTAGGCCCTCTTCTCTTTTTAACATATATCAATAACATTACTAAATTAAGAGTCAATGGTAAATTGTTTCTTTTTGCTGACGACACAGCGGTAGTGTCCTCGGGTAATACGTGGGCGATGTTTACCATCAAGCTGCATCTGACTTACTTAAAATAAAAAATTGGCTGGATCATAACACATTGACATTAAATGTATCAAAAACCAAGTGCATGCCAGTTTTCTTATCTCGAACTCGTGACCCTAGCCCTAGAAAACTCTATCTTCACTCATGTGGCGATCTGTGGTCTAATACCTGCGGATGTGACACAGTCGATTGTGTGGACCAATACAAGTACCTTGGGGTGATCATTGATCAAAGGATGACATGGTCTCCTCATATTATCTATGTAAAGCAAAGATTGAGGAAACTGGTCTACGCCTTTTATCAAATAAGCCGTGTGTTAACCGTTGATCACTGCAAATACGTTTACTATGCATACGTGCAGTCTGTGCTGCAGTATGGCATACTGGCGTGGGGCGGTGTATCTGCTGCCACATTGGCTCCTCTTCACGTAACCCAGAAAATCTTAATCAAAATTATTCTTAAAAGGCCGAAACATTACTCAACGAATTTACTTTTTTCCGAATTCCCAGTTTTAAATATTAGACAATTGTTTATCAAAACACTTTTACTTTTCATTAAGAACAACAAGGAAATTATTTTTTCTAACTTACAACACAGTTATCACACTAGACACAGGCATAACTTTGGATACCGCACTCCACAACTAGCATATAGTTCGTTAAAAAATAACATGTTTTACATAGCTCACATCCTTTATCGCAACTTGCCGCCCAACATAACTGATGCTGAATCAGGCAGTGTCGCTGTGTATAAAAGCAAGGTCTGCGAGTGGCTGATGACTGTGGGACGAGAGGCTGCAGAGGCTGTAATTCGCTCGCCTTACATTTAAATTAATCTCTGACATCAAACGCCGCCATAATAGCTATCAAAATAAATTTTTCTTCTTAGATTAATATTTTATTGTTGCTTAAGGCTGTTTATTATTAACTAATTCTAGTATACAATATATTTATATAGCATATATACATTTATTGGAGCTCCTGATACGTATTAAGTATAGATGTACACATTATTTATAAACAGTGTGCACATGTTTTTGACCTATGGACAATAACAAAAACCTATTTCCTGCTGGTAAGAGCTCTTCCCTCGAGCACGGACTTGCAGTCCATTCGGGGGAATACTATTCTTACCCTAATAATGTATTCCTGTATTTATAAAGGTGAATAAAGTGATTTTTGATTTGATTTGATTTTTTGATTTGAATGTTAACGATCGAAGTTGTAGCAAATTTAATTAACTTTAACTTTTACATTGAACAATTTAAGCTACGACACGCCGTTTTCAAGTTATAAGCAAAAAACCGCAAATTGGGGCATTTACTCCTCCCACCACCCCCCCTCACAACCCAGAGCGGCAGGGTGATTTTATTATTTCCTATCATATATTCATTAGGGGACCTTCTCAGACACATTTTTGAAAAAATTGGGAATACATAGATTTGTTCCTCTATTTTTCCTATTTTGCTCGGGCTATTGCTGTAAAAATTACAGTTCAAAAGTTATTGGATCTTTGTGGTTTTTGGTATAAAATATCATAGTTACTCCCACCGCTTACTAATGATAAAGGTTGTTGACAAGCTAATGGGGGAAAGTATGTGTCAAATTGCTGATACTGTTTATTTTACTGCATTTAATAGTGCATACACATTGCGTAAAATCAGTCACACTAAATTCCTTGTCATCTATTCAGGGAATGTCAAACAGAGGTTGGTTACGCTCATTGCGTACAAACATTGGTGTGAGGGGGCAGCCCCACATCTAATATCACCCCCCTCGCCACTGCCTAGAAGTGCTTAGCAACTTAAAAAGTATTTAATTTTAATTTTTTTTAATATTCAATTTTTAATTTCTTTATTACTATATTAGACTTAAAAGGTATATAGCCTAGAATAGAATCTGTTTGTTTAAAATATTATTTTTAAACAATTAAAGGTTGTGGTTTACAGATATAGTTCTCAGTCCCAGCATATTTGCCTGGGGTTTCCTCGGACAGCCACTACTGTGTATGTTCCTCACTGGTATTTTGTTCTTCTTCATCACTTTAGTAGTGGAATTTAAACTCTACAAAACGCTTTTCTCAATTTTTAGGGAGAAAGTAAGTTAAATTTTTTTATTGTTGTATTGTTATTACTTTTTATAATATGTTTAAACCTTTAAATAGTTAAGCAAATTTTTAACTTAAAATAATTAATACTTATTTTATTACCAGTATTGTTATTTTAAGGTTACAAATAAACTTATTTGTATTTAAGCCCAAGTACTTGAACAAAGTTAATAAAATGTGGTATACCAAATGTGTTGGGTCAGATGATTGAAAGATTATTGTGCTTGTATGGTTTGCTTGAATATAAATCTACAACAGGCTACCTCCAGATCTAAGAAGCAAGACAGAAGATGACCTCAAACCAACTTTGCATCAATGGCTCATTAATCGACCTTTTTACTCTTTAAAAGAATACTATCAACAGATCTTTGACTAAACAACACCCTCAACCACATATTTAGAAAACATTGTAAATTGACGCTACTACTATTCTTAATGAATGTGTAAATAAAGATTAATTATCTATTGTCTATTTTCTACTGAAAATGGGAGAAATACTGTCTTAAGGTGTAAATATTTAAAACTTAAATGTTAATATAAAACCTGTTTAAATTAAGCAAAGTTACATACATATTAGTTAGAAACAAATGCTAAATATATAAAAGAAAGTAATATCAAATGGAAAGACACCTCGGCATGAGAGGTTATAAAAAAGTACTGTAAAATACAATAAAAGCGAATGTTTAAATTAGGGGTGTGCGAGTACTCGAATCTTCGAGCTTTTTGGTCGAGCTTTTCATTATTCGGCTCGGCTCGAGGTATTTTGAAAAAGCTCGAAGTTCGAGCCGAGCTTTTAATACTAAGTCAAAACTGAAAAAAACACTTAATTTGGGTCGAAATTGAAAACAATGTTATGACAATTCTACGTTGTTCATGCATTCGAGGTTTGATAAGCAACGGCAAAGAAGCCGTATGATGCAATACTGATAACTAGTTTAGTCGTTATCGGCTGTTTTGCTTTACGATTAGATTCGTCTGGAACGAACAGACATAAAGCAGAAAAGAACTACCATGGTCAAATGAAAGTCAACTCGTGCTTGTCTCCCTCCTGATACTAGGGGCGCTGCGTAATAGTTTTTTTTTACAGTACTGTTTCAAATTCAAAGTAGAAAAATCTAGCCTACTACTGTGATGTTACGTAAACAATAGATTTAATGTTTCCCAAAAAAAGTCAGAATAGAAACAATAGAAAGGCACAATAGAAGGGTGGGAGGGGTTGGGCAATGACCTCGAAAAAGGAGCGCGTGTAGTGAGTCAAGTAGGACCGGAGGGGGAAGGGGTGGGTAAGACCTTGAAGCTATATATAGACTTGCACTACTTCCCTAAACCTAAAGGACTGGCCGGCGAGTGGTATTCCAATCACAGGACAAGATACGTTGTTTTTTGGGTATTCATTGCCCGGTTTGACTTTGGATTGTCTTACTGTGTAGAAACTTTGAATAATAAAAAATAAAGTTAGAACTAACCACGATTATTTAGCATTGATTGTGTACATATTAAATGATTAAACTATAGGGACCATGGATATATACAAACTTGTGTCGTGATTTTAATTTCAACATCAAAATACAATACTGCACAATCGTGATATTTTAGGTCATCGACCTTTATTATGCATCCGGTATTGCTGTTTCAGAAGAGAAGCACGTTGATAAATTATAAATTGATATTCCCGTAGTTAAAAAGAATTATTTTATAAACCTATAAAACAAAATCATAAAATCTTACATAAAGATAATAATAACGGAAATTGTAAAAAAGGTATAAAGATAACACGTTATTCTTTCTCTTTGTTCTTCTATTTCTTGGGTTTCCCTTCATCACGCATTCAACAAGTTGCCATGGTTACTAATCACCCATGTCGTTATCAGCTTTTGTGACATAGCGCACAGCAGGGGGGTAAAACTTGACGAAAATCGGTTAATTTTTACCTATTATTTAATTACCAATGAATGTACTACTTTATTGGTATTTGGTACTGTATTAATAATCGGTCAAAATGGCCGATTTTTGTCAAATTTTACCCCCCTGCTGTGCGCTATGTCACAAAAGCTGATAACGACATGGGTTCATTCACATGGACACCGCTTCTAACATTCCTAACTACGAAAACACTAAGGCTAGCTCACCAGATAGATTATTATCTCGAAGAAAATCCCTACATCTAGAGAATGCTTCACAGCCCTTTGACGCTAACTTAAACAATAGCGAATTGATTTTAAAGTCATCTTATCCACCAGAACAAAAGATTCAACCAGCTATTCATTTAAGTACTAACAAAAATATGGACGAATCAGAAAGACTAGCATCCATACAAAATTTGGGTAATACAAGGGACCCCAATGCTGAAAATATACCCCTTGTAAAGCCTACAATATTTAGTGGTAAACAGCATGAGAATGTTTTAGAATTTCTAAAAAAGTACGAACTAGCAGCTAAATGCAATCGATGGTCAGATCGAACTAAACTAGATTTATTTGGAACTTACACAACAGGAGTAGCATATAAATGGTACTCTGATTTTATGGATACTCAGCCCACCAGTTCTTGGGATGATCTCAAAAGTAACTTTGAAAAATCATTTGGCCAAGCTGGATTCAAATTTGACCTTCAAACTACTCTTGACAACAGGATTCAGAATGAAAATGAAACACCCTTACAATTTTTCTTTGAAGTTCGTAGCTTGTGTAGACAAATAGATCAATCCATGGACGATGAAAAAATAATCAGTTACACTATTAAAGGCTTACGTCCTAACTACTTTGATGAAATTGTTAGGATGGAAAGTTCCAATTTGCAGGAATTCCGAGAAAGACTAACTAAATTACAAGCCATGCAAGCCCTCAAGCAACAAAACACTAGAAAATACAATTTGCACTATGGATTTGATTATGTACAAAGCGTTAACCCTGTTGAAAATTGTACCAGCACAATACTAATTCCCAAACCAAAGAGTGTACATTTTGACACAAATTCAACTCAACAACAAGCTAAAACCCCTGAACTACTAAACGCAATAACTGATTTAACAAAAGCTGTAAATGATTTTAAAGTGAATTATAAAACTAGCAGAGATCCATCACCCAGGATGGATATATCTCAGGTTAAGCATGATTCTGTGGCTCGACATTATAGTCGATCACCCAGAAGAAACACTGGTCAGGCATATTACAGGCGAAACTCACCTTCTCCAGGACGGCATTATAACAGAAGAGAATACTATCCAAGCTATAACCAAAAACAACCACATTATTATCAGAGAAACTACACGTCCAACTACTACAAACACCAGGCGAGACGATTCAATTGTGACATTTGTAAAATGGATAATCACTCAACTCAAAACTGCTATTTTAATAAAAGAAATCCATCTGCTACAAGTTTTACAGTCCGTAACCAGGACTCAAACAGATCGAGGCCCAGAAGCAACAGTTATGACAGAAATCGGAACAAATCCCCAAGCCAACCTAATCAAAAAAACTAGGTTGTCGGCGGGACGCCCGGAACGAATCTCTTAACCAGGCATCTCGCCATTGGCATAATGAGTCCTACGACAAAATGTATACACAGAACAGCAATAATCATGTTTTTAATGATGATTCGTCTCCATACCATGGTGAAACATTATGTTATGAAAATAAAAATAACTACCATCAAGTCTTATTTCCTGGTAAAACATACAATGAAACGTTTCCCACATTAGATGAATCATTCAAGTCAAAGCGTAAACAAAACTACACAAGTCGACAACTAGAAGACTTGGCAACACTGGTTGAATCAAACAAAATGGCAACACGGCAGTGCGTAACACGAGATGACATTGTATACAACACGCATTCGCACAATTCCATGAGTCCGCAAGGTCGACAGTGCAGCGACTCACTGCTTACCTCCCCACTTGAGATAACACCTTCTTCAGTATCCGTGCATGATGTAAACAAACAAGAAAATAATATAGGTAATATTTCGGAAACTACATTAACAAATGAACAATTACTGTTAACTCAAGAACAGGAAGTTAACTTTCAAAATCAGTCTTCAGTAATAAAATCAGATAATGTATCAACCCACAAATTTCTATCACTAGATGAAGCAAGTATATTATCTCAAATTATAGATAACAGTAATGAAAAGGCAAAAGCCGAAACCTTAAACCTAAGGAACCTAATTAAAACAAATCAAAGAGAATCTAAATCTGTTCTAGTAGAAGTTTATGACATATTATTTGGGACCAAAGAAAATGCAGCTTGCTCTACATTAAACTTTAATGTACTAATAGATGGGCTAAGCGGCAATTTGCAATGTCACATTGACACAGGCACCAATTATTCATTCATTAATGCAAACTTAGTAGGCAACAGAACTATGCAAACAGATAATTTGCCCAAAATAGTATCAGCAAACAATCAGCCAATAAACATATTAGGTCGAACTTCCTTAGTTATGATTATAGATGACAAACCCTACACCGCATCATTTTTAGTAGTACATAACCTGGCACTCGACTTAATAATTGGAAATAAATTTCTACTGGAACACAACATGGAGATTTCCTTCAAACATAAGGAAATTCGTATTTACAATAGCAAAAGAAACATTTATGATATCATTCCTATGTCCACGTCTTGGATACTAAATTTGGGTAAGAAACATATTCTTTCATCCATTATTGACTCGTCCAATACAGAAGAAATAACTGAAGTTAGAACAGACAAAGAATATTTTGTAAAGCCCAGACAACATTTAAAAGTAATTGATTTACCAAATAGTATCAACACATTTGAATTTGAACAGAATTTGGATCTTCAAAATAGACGAAAATTACATGTATACATTGGCACTGACTTTCATACTGACACAAAATGTATTCAAGTTTACAATTCAGGAAGCTCTTGCAAAAAGATTAGGGAAAATGCTTTATTAGGATATTTAAAAACTGGTTTTAAACCCAGCAACGCAAAACCCCAATCATCTTCAGCTACAAGTGCAAG